TTTTATTTTTTATTTTTAAAATATATACTATATAATAATTATTTAATTCAAATTGAAGTAATTACAATAGCCACCAACTAAATTGTTTAAAGGTCAATAGTAAAATTATTAGGCATAAGCCCGACACTTAAGAGTTAACAAGATACATTTAATTTATTTTAAACTTTTTTTTTTTATATAAAGTAGGCTTAAGTATAGAAAAAGGACCCCAATTTTTATTAAATTCTCAATTGAGGTACTCAGCATTTATTATGCTCAATCAAGGTCTCAAACTCATGGAAACTCTCAAAAAAGGACCCAATTGGATAGAACCCTAACCATCCGTTAAGTCTAACATGAGGCCGTTATAATCCATTACCCCTCAATACGTGGCATGCCAACTAGACAATAAAAAGTATTCTCGGACATGCCATGTTGTAATCCCACATCTCTCATTTTTCTCCCATCTCTCCTCTTCCTTCCCACTCCACAATTTGGGGGCAAAATCCCTAGAATTTTTAGTTTGCTTCTTTTCTGTGCAGGGTCTTCTTCTCCACCCAACATCAGCCCACCCCATCCCTACAACTTCTCTACCCAACGGCCGGCCTCTCTCCATGCAAGTTCTTCTTGTTCTCCACCCAACAACTGGCCTTCCTCCACGCAAGATCTGCTTCTTCTTCTTCGTCGAGTAGCCGACCTCTCTCCATGCAAGTTCTTCTTGTTCTCCGCCCAATAACCAGCCTTTCTCCATCAAGATCTGCTTCTTCTTCGTCGCCGAGTAGCCGACCTCTCTCTGTGCAAGATCTTCTTGTTCTTCGCTCAACTACTGGCCATGCAAGATCTTCTTCTTCTCCGTGCAACAACAGCCCACCCAATCCCTAGAAATTTCCCAAGCAATCTCTAGTCCCATTCCACAAATTGGGGGCCGAAATCCCTAGAATTTTCACTGCTAATTCCTTCCCCATTACTTCAATCTTGATCTTCTTCTTCTCTTGTTTGGTGCTATTGATTTCCTATTAGCCTTTCTTTGCCGCTAATACCAGCCCACCCAACAGCCAATCACTAGTCCCATTTCACGTTTGATTGCTGCAAAGAAAGGAAATTGAAAATCCTAAAAATTGAGGTCAAGGTCAAGAACAGTGCACATGCTCTTCTTTTCCTCTGATTGCTGCTGATTTTTTAAATTGTTTTTCTTCTACAATAAAGTGTTGTCAAGTGCTAGTTGGTTTGATTTTTTTTATAATTGATATGTTTGAAAATCTTACAGGGACAATGGTCATAATTGTTTGTGTAAATGGCTTCTTTTGTGATGTTATATGGTAATGGTCATATGATTGTTTTAGGTAAATTGTTTTTGGGACATATTTATCCCCACCAATGTACTCCAAATTGGGAAGGGAACTTTGATGAAATTTCTTCCATAGAAGAAGGTCAATTTTTTGTCACCCATGATGTAAAAATAATAGGAAACACATATATGAACATTTAAACAAGATGTAAAAATAATTAAGAAAATAAGTTGATTAAAGACAGAAAGGCAATAACACTACCAACACCCCAAACGGAAAAGAAGTGATTAAGAATAAAAAAAGTGATGAATTAAATAAATTAACCAAACAAAGTTAAAGAAATCATGTGTAATTGAGACAAAAAGTTTAAATTCAAAAATTAATAAAAAATATTAAAATCATTCAACAACACAAATAAAACCACATAATCGTAGCTGTATGCTGTTGAATCCATACAAAAATACAAAAAATAGTTATTTAAAAGACCCTACCCATCAATGAAAGCCTTAAATTGACTTTTTGAAATTCTCAAAAATCGTTTTCTATTGACCTAGTTAAAGACAAAGTTTTAGGGTTTTTATATTAAATAAGTATTAAATAGTTAAAGATGGGAAAAGAAAAGGAGTCTTGTCGGATCCACCTGGTTTGTGGAGAGAAAGATCCGCCACAACATGCCACGTTGGACAATTTTTTTATTGTCAGTATTATGGGTCTAGTCGACATGCCACATGTTGAGCGTCGTAACGGATTATAACGAGCGTCATGTTAGACTTAACCAGATGGTTAGGATTCCATCCAATTGGGTCTTTATTTGAGAGTTTGCATGAGTTTGAGACCTTGATTGAGCATAATAAACGTTGAGGACCTCAATTGAGAATTTAGTAAAAGTTGGAGTCCTTTTCCAATACTTAAGCCTATAAAGTATTAATAGACTACACTTTTTGTTTTTAAGTGATGTGAAATCAGACACTTATTTATATATAAAATATTAATAAACTTTACTTTTTATTCTTAGAAAATGTTAGATTTTTTCATTCCGCAATTTCACTTATGTATTAATAAAAGAATCAAAGATCTATCAAATAACAACAAAAAATAAGTCACTAAATTAGATGCAAACATCAACTCTAAGTTATGGTTAATTAAAAGGAAAAAATAAAAGGTAATCAATGACTTTGCTAGCAGCTACAATTTTTTTTATAGTTGAATTCTTCACCACAATATATCCTTCACCAAAAACTGGGGCCAAATGTTACAGAAACCAAATTTGAGTCGTCCTCCCCCATCTACATGGAAAAAATGGGTTATATCTGGTCGGTCTTAAGGTTGGTACCACTGGACAAATGCTTCACCTGCTTGATACCGGATCAATTATTGTTTGGTGGCAACGCCAGCCCTGTAGCTGCTGCTTTGCATCGGACCATCGAATCTTTGTTCCCGTGTTTTCATCCTTTCGCTGGGTTAGTTGCCATGGGAAGGAGTGTAAAATCTTCGGGTTTTTTTTTTTTTTTTTAACAAATGCACAAAAAACCGGATTCGAACTATTGTCCTGAAGGTGAGGAAATGTATTTACACGTGGCCTGACACCACTGGACCTAAATCCAAAGGCCCAAGTGCATAAAATCTTCGGGTTTAGTGTAAGGAATATTTGAATATTTCATGAATATACAATAATTAGAATATTTGATAGACTTAGGAGCTTTATTTTGTCATGATTTTTGTAGCATTGAAGGAATAAAAAATTATTTGAGAATGAAGACGTAAGAGGGGTATTTTTTAAAAAAATTTAATTTGTTTTAAAATTTATATTTTAATAAAATTCATTTCACTAGTTTGTGATAACTATCACTGTAAAAAATTTACTTATTTGTTTCTCAAATTCAATTGTGGACTAGCTATATGAAAGAAAGTTTTGTTTTTTGTTTTTTGTTTTTTTTTTTAGTTTATTTTGCAAAAATCATATATATTATTATAACAAATGAAAAAATTTAGTCACAAATAAATTGGGTATTTATGACAAAAATTAATCATTTATGATCAATTTTTTTGGGTATTTACTAATTATCTTACTATGACAATTTCAATTGCTACAAATTTATGTTTTTTAACGCAACTAAATGTAATTAATGTAAGTTTTTGTATCAAAATAATATATTTTAATTTTAAAATTTAATATTAGAGATTAATATATTGAATTAGTTACAAATATATAATATAAAAAATAGCAGTAAAATTGAAAATCAATCACTATTTTCAATTACAAAACACCCTTTAATTTTTCTTGTCCTGCTTGTTTCATTTCCAAATTGACACCCAACCTCTTCTCCTTATTTGATCTCCGCCTCTTTTCTCCTCCACTACAAGAATTCACTATATCACCGACGAGAAACCATGTCGGAGAAAGAGGGAATCTGGTCGGTGAAACAATGTACCCACTTGCATCACGTCGGTAATGGCTGCCTCGGTAAAGCCCGGCTCGGTAATTAAATCACTGAGGTAGATGAAAATCACATTGGTAAACGCACTCACAATTACTGACAAAGAACATCTTGCAAATAGGGTGTCGGAACAGTTAACCGGAAAACATCTCTGGTTCCACGTCGGTAAATTACCGACAAGGATAACGTCTGCACATTAGGAGGCGCCTCGAGCCCTGCGCTTATCACCGACGAACATCACGTCTGCCAATGCTGCGGGAAAAGGAGGCCATCTTACTAGATTACCGACAAGAGCCACGTCTGACAGTGAAGATCTCGCTGCAGGTTCAAATCATCTCCAAAATTTTAGGCGCCAATTGTTTGGGGCGCGATTTTTATTTTTCTAGTTACCGACGAGAGTCACGTGGGTAATTAACCCTGAAAAAATAAAAAAAAATGTTGAATTCAGCTTATCCCCAAAATTTTAGGCGCCAATTTTTTCAGCGCCAATTTTTTATTACTATTTACCTACTTACCGACAAGAATGGCGTCGGTAATCAACCCTGAAAAAATAAAAAAGAAAAATGTCTTGAATTCAGCTCATATTAAAATTAATATATATATTTATTATTTAATTAAATTAATTTACAATTAAACATTAAGTAATTCGTAATATTTAATATTATAAAAAATAAATAT